TGAAAATTATTGAAACGAATCTAATTTTTTTTGTAAAGTACAATAATGTTATTGAGATGAGTTTTATGAACGTGGACTTGGCGCAATTTTTTACAGTGAAACTGTTTTTGTTCAGATTTCTGTCACCCAGGCCTTATTACCCGCCTACCTTAATTTCTTTAAATTTATTTGCCAGAGAAAAATTTTTCTTCTATTGCATAAATTTTATTAAAAATAACCAAATTATATTTTATATTTTTAGTCCAGTCAACTAGTTGAGAGCAGTGCAAATTGGTGAAATGTCACAGCCAAGAGAATCTAACCTTGGACCAATGGGAGAAAACGTTCAAAATACCGGCGGATATAGCATGATTCCGATCAGCTCTAGCAGCCAAAGTCCTCACCAGACCATTGATGTTTGGGACATAATATTATCCCAACTTGCAAGTAGTCCCTCCGAAAACTGGGATGACATGCTGGTTAGGAAACAAGAGCTCGACGCTCATATAATGAAACCAACATTATTCTCGGTGCTCTGTGAGTTCAAAGGCAGAAAAGGTTCACCACTAAGAAGCATCCAAGAACCTCCTCCAGATCCTCAACTTATAAGGTTAGATCACATGCTGAAAGCTGAGGGCATTACTGATGAAAAAGTAGGAGCTGTGTCAGAAGCTGGAACCGACAGTATTGAAAACGCTGAATATCGTACTAAGCTTGCTCAAATCAGACAATACTACTATGAGCAGCTTGATAAATATAACCAGTCCCTCACTGACTTCACTTCGCATGTTGTGACTCTTCTGAGGCAACACAACAGCATAAGACCAATTACAGCCGAAGAAGTTGATAACATGAGCCAAATTATCAGGAGAAAATTCTCGAGCATCCAGATACAGCTGAAACAAATAATCTGCGAAGCTGTTATGCTTTTAAAGAGTCGATTCCTTGATGCCAGACGAAAAAGACGGAACTTCAGCAAGCAAGCGTCTGATGTTCTCAACGAATACTTCTACGAGCATCTGAGCAATCCGTATCCCAGTGATGATGATAAAGAAGAACTAGCAAGACAATGTGGCATTACCGTCAGCCAAGTGTCTAATTGGTTCGGCAACAAGAGGATACGTTACAAAAAAAATATGGGCAAAGCGCAAGAAGAAGCTAATATGTACGCCGCTAAAAAAGCAGCAGCCAAGTCGTACAATGTGCCTCAGCGTACATCTACGTCAGCGGTGTCTCCAGTACCATCGACTAGTTCTCAAAATTTGACAGGATACGATGTCAGGGGTCATGGAAATAACTTCGGTTTACAACCCTACAATGACCCGTCGATGGGTTATAATATGACGCACCAGAGCAAGGGGTTGGTTCCTGAGCCGAGATGGGTTCCCCGTGAAACTATTCCCGAATTTCCAATCCTCCAAAATTCACCAGATTCTGACTCGGATTCTCGAGAGAATGAAAAACGTCCACGGCTTCAAGTGTGATAATTTAAAAATAAAATGAGATTTTTTGTAAATTTATGGCTAATTTAGTAATTTATCAATTCTTGCAAGTAGAAAAATTTTTTTTTAATAAAAGTAATGATAAGAATTAATTATTTCCAAAAAGTTTTTCGAGATTTTTTAAGCTTTCATACCATAAAATAAAATTTATTGTCTAAAATTAATTTACTTTTACATGTAAGAAATATTGTAGAATTATTTAGAAGATACTATTGTAACGTTCTGGAAATTTGGATTTTCCAGATAACAAGTCTTAATAATTTTTAATTCCACGTTGGCTTCGTTATATAGGGTGTTAACAGACTTCAGGTGGGCCAGTTGCTAGGCTCTTTCTTCAATTTTGAGGTTATTGTTAAGGTTCATTTAAATTACTATAAAAAATTCCATTTAATTATAGTATATTGTGCAACTAGTGCGACAACGTCGCACGAGTTTCACATACTATTTTGTATTACAAATGCGGCCATATATGTGGGCACAAAATCGGGGTCCAGGGGCAGTGCCCCGGCAGGGTCCAGGAGCAAAGTCCCGGCGGGGGGTTTGGGGGGGGGGGCGGAGCCCCCCCAGTCCTTAAAAACAAACAAAAAGTTAAAAGAAAAAGAAACAAATATATATCAGATAATAAATGAATTATAATTAATATTAATTAACAAAAAATAAATTTACACATTGAAACAATCAACACATAAAATTAAATCACATTAAATTTAACTGTCACTAAAATTTTTTAATTTTCTCTTACAAACAAATTTGTTCCGAAAAATTATTCATTAAAAATTGCATTTTTTACTTTACAAAATTCCTACATGTCAATTTAAAAAAAAAATTTATTTTTTACAAAAATTATTAAAATTATCAAATTTCTGCTAAATTTATTTTCATCACAATTAAATAGCTGGATATTAATTAATTATTTTTACTTTCGTTAAAAATATGAATGTGAATAATATGAAAAATATGAAAATATGAACTTTGTAATGTCAACCTCACTTCTATAATATTGACAATTAGATTGTGTTTTTTTTTGTTATTTATTTTAATTTTAGCAGTTTTCACAGTCAATTGCATGCGACAAGGATATATAGTTTGAGTGCGCCAAGAATAATTTGCGTGCGACAAGTAAACTTGTCGCACTCAAATAACAGTTTTATTTATGAAAAATCTCACGCGTAATTTTAAAATGGGCAAACGGCTCTTTTTCAAACGCAACTGCGAGCGTCAAGATACCAGGTACTTTTCCTGCATGAGTAATACAAAATATATTATAATAAATTCAAATAAACTTGGTGGAGTCAGTCAGTCTCCGGACATACGTCCAAAACCTAAGATATTTTTCAGCAGATTGATTTCTCTGAATCTGCTTCCTGAGTACAATTAATTAAACAATGATAAAATTGCAAACGCTGCGTCTTAGGTTACCCTATGGTAGAAAAGTCGTCAAAGTCCAGCTCTCACGCTCACTGTTAGGCTGGAGCGCGACAATACTGTTATCGAAAGCGATTTTCGTTACCTTGCGAAGCAGTCGTAATTTTAAGAGTTTTTAATATTTAATATAATAAATTCATTTTTGTTAAATTGTGAACTAAAATTTAGGGGTTAAACTATACATATTTGGATCATTTCAAGTCAAACGATTTATCATATGTTTTGCCTCGCGAATCTCGCGATTAGTTTACCGCAAATATGTTTAGGATTACGTATAAAATTAACCTTTATATTTTATTATACCAAATAAATAAATATTATCAATTTGTGAATCAAATGTTTAATTTACAATGAATATGCGCAATGCTAATTGTAGCTATTGCACTAAGTGAAAACCATGAGGTTGAGTTAAACTAAAGTTTTATTCAAGAAAAGAAATGCGACTGTGCGCTACAAAGTATGTAAGAATAACTACTTAGAAAAAATACAAAAACTATCGCAAGGAAAGTAAGAACTAGGCGTTACAACTTCAAGCAGGAAAAATTAGGAGTAGGAATATTTGGCAACGAATGCTTAAGCAGGAAATAATTAGGGAACGGGATAATTGCAGGCTATGCAGTTCGGAAACTATAAGTAGGAAAGGAGATACGGGTGCAAGGATTTTTACTTGGATGGGCGATACATTTATAAAATATTTCTAAACTTAGTTGGTAATTAAATGATTAATATGCAGAATTTACCAAAAGAAGAAACCCAAACAGTCATATAACCTAAGTATCAAATCTATGATCATAAGCAGATTAAAAAAAGTACTCAAGAAAATATCTCAACAAATTATCTTTAAATCACTTCATTCACAGTTCTCAGGCTAGCAAATAACTTAAATATAAAGAAGCAAAAAATAGTCTATAGACTGTTAATGAGATACATAAGCTGGGAAATTTACAGTCATAAATAAAATTGAACAAATGAATGCATTTTTTTTTTAGATAAAATAAACGCACTTAAAAATACGGATTTAAATTCTAAATTTAAAATAAAATATATTATTTGTCAAACAAAGTAACAATTTTCGCCTATGCAATAAAAATATAAAATTGATCCACAGATTCGGTAGAATCTGGCGCCAAGTTTCGTTCAAATCCGTTGTAAACGGAGCGCCAGACTACCAAGTGTGTTTACTGTAAGCAGAACGGTATTTCGAGGTTGCAAAATTTTATTTAATTCTACGGTAATTTTTTTTCCTTAATTTTATATTATAACAGTAATTCATACTTTATTTTACTGATATTAATTAATTATATTTAATTATAACAATTAATCTACTTGAAATTATTAAATTTAATCAGCACAAACTATAGCAACGCAAAAATTTCGATCCTGACTTTTTTTCGATGGGCAAAGTGATCTGCCACAGACTACATAATTCGATAGTGCATGGTAATCCTCCGATAGATAGGAAACTACAGTTAGAAAAATACATTTCACAGCTTGCATCTACACTCGCCAGGGTGCGCTGGAATTATTTTTACATAAACTGTAGCTTCAAAGGAATAGTTTGCTATAAAAATGCAGCCAACGCGAGATTTAAATTTGTACTAATTGTAAATTTTTATTATATAATTACAAAAAATACTAAAATCCGAACAAAAACAGTTTCACTGTAAAAAAAATCGCGCCAAGTCCACGTTCATAAGACTATTAAGAAAAAAAAATTTTGTTTTCTTTACAAAAAGATATAAAATAAAAAAATTAAAAAATCCAAGTAACCGATATGATTGTATATGATTTTCTGAAATTAGAAAAAATTTTGTTGTAAATTTAAAAATTAAAAAAAAAATTTTGGAATGTACTTGGTGTGCGTCATTGTGTATTTCAATTTTTATAAAGTCCTAGTAAATAGAATTCACGAATTTCATTTAAAAGTAAAATATTTTGCAACCACGCACACTAAATACGTTCCAAAATTTTTTTTTAATTTTTAAATTTACAACAAAATTTTTTCTAATTTCGGAAAATCATATACAATCATATTGGTTACTTGGATTTTTTAATTTTTTTATTTTATATCTTTTTGTAAAGAAAACAAAATTTTTTTTTCTTAATAGTCTTATGAACGTGGACTTGGCGCGATTTTTTTACAGTGAAACTGTTTTTGTTCGGATTTAAGATTTTCAAATAAGACTAGTTGTACGATGTAACAAAAAAAATTTTTTTTTGGGAAGTTATTAAAATTGTGAAATTTTACTGTTTTTCCAATTTTTCAACATTTATTTTTAAATATCTCGAAAACTATAATAGAATCTATAAAAAATTTTTATGATAAAAGGAAAGTTTTGATCAAATTTCGTCTAAACTGAAAGGAGTCGATTTCAACTATTGGTCAATTTAACATAAAATGACCCAATTAGTGGTTTTACAATCAGTTGTGTTAAAAATAAGTAACATCTGGAGTTATTGATTCATACGTTATCACAATATTAAACTTTATCAATAGCTTAAATTTTTATGACTCTTGAGAAATTAAATACTATCTTTCATTAATCAATAAATTTATATATGAAAATAATTTCAGCCTTCAATTATTACTGCGCAATAAGCTTCAAGTAGAACGTACTTCCAAAGTTGTTTTTTTTTTCGATATATTTCGTCGATAATAAGAATAATTTTATGAGTTATATGAATTCTATAGCTTTTGCGTTGTAAAAAACTAGATCCCTATATAAACTGATCCACAAAATCGATGACAGTCAAACTTAAATCTACTTGTAAAAGAAAACCACCGACATTAATAATTATGCTTAGTAAAAGCATATTAATACTTTCAACATTTTTAATTATGAGTATAGGTAATTAAAATTTTTTTTTTTTTTCATTATAACTTCTTAAGTAACCTTATTTTAATTTTTTATAAAGCTTATTGTTATCTTTAATTGCTTTTTCACTTATAGCTATTCTTTGTCAATTCTAGTGCAAGATACTAACAGACTCTTGTTCAAGAATTGTCCAAAAATTGCTACAGATACAGGCGGGTAGTAAGGCCTGAGAGACAGAAATGATATTTAAAATAACCGCTTCCGCTAAAGGCTACTCTAGTAGATCTAGTAGAAGCGTTGGTCTGAAAAATGTCACGACAAGTTTATAGAGTCTCGATACTATCACGTTCCCTGTTTTCTATATTTCATTATCTGACATATGCTAAAGTAGCAAAGAAGAATTTCTAAAAAACGGTTTGAGTAAATGATAAGGATTTTTAAAAATTTTATATTTAATCATTTGAAATCATTGTTCTAATTTTTATCAACATCTTAAAAAGTATAGTTGCTAAATTTAAATGATGATTGATCTTTAATACCAATTTTATATAGTACAGTATAACTATTTCCAGTATGTTTAACCCGTAGGCCTCATTACTCTACCGTAGTAAAATAAGGCCTATTCGTAAGGTTTTTGAAAAAGTTCAAATTTGTGTTTGTTTTTTGGTGAAAATTACTATTACCTTATAATATTTTATGGTTGGTGTATTAAAATAAAGATTAATAATACATTTCGATACTTGAATGCAATATTTTTTTTCAAAATCTCCCTTAGCTACTCTCTTAAAAGAAATCAGTGGAATTTTACTGGTTCCCCAGTGGAAGTTCACTGATTCCAACCAATGAATGCAATGTCACTGGCGAATCAGTGGATTTCACTGATTCAACCAGTGGAGATACTAGCGCGCATGCGCGCAGATATTTTTTTCACTGATTCAATCAGTGGATTTCACTGATTCACCAGTGAAAATGCATCATTGGTTGAAATCAGTGAACGTCCACTGGTGAACCAGTTAAATTCCACTGATTCCTTTTAAGAGAGTAGGCCTTATTACCCGCCGTTACCTTACTTTGCAAAGATTCTCAGGAAAAGTCTTGAACAAGAATGCATATTTACATTTTAAATAATTTCTTTTTGCTGTTAGCAACTGACACAAAACGGGCCAAGAGACTTTTTAATGGCAACGATGTTGAACCTGATGAGTACCCATTCACAGTTTCCATACTCTTAAATAACACCCACATATGTGTTGGTATTACCATCGGAGAGAAACACATCCTTACAGCAGCTCACTGTTTTGGAAATTTGCCGCTTGTGGCATTAGCGAATCTCGTAGTTAGAAGTGGTTCAATATTTTACAACTCTGGTGGAAATCTTCATTCTGTAAAGAAAATCATATACCACAGAGAGTATCGCATCGGAGACACTACTTCACCGAATGATATAGCTATTTTAGAGGTATACATTTTATTTATCCATACAAAAAAAAAGTATTCTTGCTATCAGTATACAAAGTATTATCGAGAGGGTTTTTTTCTAGTAAAAATACGTATTGTGATTATCCATAAAGAACTGAGCGAAATACCGCTTGTTGTTAGTAGAGCAAAACCAAGTTTTTTTCTCAGCATAAGAAATATTTTGAGTGGAAAAATACTTTTTTTTTTTTTCAGTACACATGATTGATCCTATTAAAGAATTTGATCAATTTGACAATATCAACATGCTTTTATTTTCAGCTTAATAACCCAATAACATTAGATGATCATTGTAAAATAATATCTCTTTCTTCCACGTTTGTCCAAACCGGAGCAATAGCGACCGTTATTGGCTGGGGGCACACTGAATCTCTTCGCAAAACCAATCCATCATTGAAACAACTTACATTGACAATTTTAGATCCTTTAACGTGTCAAGCTTATATGCCTTACACAATGTACACCCATCAAATCTGTGCTATAGGGTTTCTTAATCAAGGTACCTGTGTTGGTGACAGTGGAGGGCCTCTTGTGTGAAATCGCCAATTGATTGGACTTGTATCGTATGGAATACCTTGTGCCACTGGTCATCCAGATGTTTTTACCAGCATTCCTTCTTACATTCCTTGGATTACAGAAGTAATGGCGCAATAAAATTATTGTCTGATATTGTTAACTTGAAGCAAATAAATAAAATTTATGAATCTGAGGACTAGTTTTTCTACAATTAACCCAACTTATAACTAAAATATCTATATTTTAAGAAAATATTGCTTATTTAAGTAAAGATATCTATTTTAGAATAGGTTTTATTCTATTTTTTGTGTTAAAATTAATCCATAGTCGCATCAAAATAAAGTCTGATGGCAATATAACCATTCTAAAACATTGTACAATGTGATTGAAAGTCATTAAAATCATTCGATAGACGATTAAAGATTAGAGACTCTCTAATATCGACCCTGGGTGCTTGGTACTCTTCCAATTGACTTTAGGAACTCGCTCCCACTCCGCTTAGACCATAGAAGTCGCAGAGAAAGTAACTCGTCTCCTCTACAGTTCCTACTTAATTGTGGTGGGGGTCGAATTAAGAGGGACGTTGAAATTATAGAGACTCTGGTAGACTGGCTCAGTACTGAACTCTGTTTTTAGGCGAATATCAGCACTGGTGGTTCAATGGTAGAATGCTCGCCTGCCACGCGGGCGATCCGGGTTCGATTCCCGGCTAGTGCAATTTTTTGTAAATTTTTAAAATAATTCACCCTGCAGGCCATCCCTGGAACTTTTCGCTGTGATCAAGCTTAAAACGATGAAATAATTTTTTAGATAAGCAATCTTTTACTACACGGAGAGAAAAAATGTCGATAATTAAGAAATTACATTGCATCTTGTAAACTGATGACATTTTTAGAGATATAAGCTCATCTTGATATTACACTCATCGAGACCTTTCATTTGAGTACCTACATGAATTTTTCGTATATTTTATATAATTTACAAAAATCATATACAAATATATGTTAAATATATAAAAAATGTATGTGGGTATTCTCAAATGGAAGGTGTCAGTGAGTGTAATATCAAAGCTTATATCTTTGAAAATATCAATAGTTAAGAAATTACATTGTATCTTGTCAACTGATGATATTGCAAAGTTACTGGAATAACACAATGAAACTACCGTAAAACTCCAGAACTTTTACCGTAAAAAAACCGTGCATTAACTACAATCTACATACATATATAAGAAAATGTATAAGAGGATGTTTGTATATATGAAATCGATAGACTCAGAAACTAATCGACTGATCATTATGAAAATTAATATGTAAATGTATTTTTTCGTGGAGAAAACGATTATGCTATCCTCATTGACGCAAATCGCTACCAGGTGGCGCTGCGATGTATAGACTAAAAAATAAAGTCTACTAATCATTTATAATGATATACAAGATGGCGGCTACTGAGTAGACTCGAGTTATAACACGTGCTCCTCAAATTTAGTCATTAATTTAGTTTAGTGCATAGTAGTGTCAGTAAAAAGTGTTCCTAGTTATTGATAAAATTATTTATCAACGAGTGAGCTATAAATACGTACTGTAAACACTTTTTAATCTTGCAAATAACCGTTGAAACGTTGACCACATTTCTAACCTATATCTCGCGCTTGTTATTATTATAATTATTACTGGTGATCACGTGTATAGTCTGCACTTCTATTTTTACATATTTTGTAATACTGCCTGACATCTAATAACAAGCATTATAACTACAATGGATTTCGATGGTAACGTGTCATATACCGACTGTGAGGAGAATTTGATCTGCAGAGCCTGCAACGTACCCATCTTACACGAGTCAATCGCATGTCCTAAATGCTCTCACATTTTTCACAAGGCATGTGTTAACACAAAAGCTTTAACTAAGAATGGTGGATTTACAAGGTGTTGTGGACCGGGTCGTAAAGCCTCAGCTTCTGGTGGCACGCTTCAATTTACTCTGGAAGACATAAAATATACATTCAGGGACGAAATCGCACCTCTAGCTCGGCGTATTGATAATGCTGAAATACGCCTCGATAACATCGATTCTTATTTGAAGGATTTTACAACAAAGGGCCTTGCAGAGCATAAAGTCATAGTTGAACTCAACCAAAGGGTCGACAGCATTGAATCGGCGGGACTAAGAGCCTCAGCAGGCACTGATGGATCCCGGGATCTATGAGTTTCAAGAGTTTGATGACAGGTTGAACAGGCGTTCCAACCTAATGATTTACGGACTTGAGGAAGAATATACTCGCGACTCCAATAATGGCATTCTTCAAACTAAAATTATTGACTATTTTTCACAAGTCATGGATAAGCCGGTGTCGCAAACTAGGATTAAATTTAAAAGTAGACGCGTGGGTAAATACCCAGCATCGAGTACCATCCCGCGTCCTACCAAAGTCATGTTTGCCGATCCTGACATGGCTGAAACCGTTCTACAGGCTTTTATCTGGTGCAAAGTTCAGAAGAAACTCCCAACATCCCTCCAACATTTGGCATTAGCAAGAGACCAGACACCTGCCCAGAAAGCGGAATATCTCAGCCTCAAGGAGGAGATGAGGAAACGTACTCAAGCGGGGGAGAAGAATCTTTGCATTGTCACCAGGGGCACTCGACAGATTATTATACGGCATGCTCGAGCTGCGGCTCCGAGCCAGAGCAGAAATCAGTAAAACAACAAATGGTCACGAGGTGGCGATGTGCCTATAACAGCCCGTTGAAATTTACGAACTGTATTATTTGATACCTTATCACTATCAACCTACGAAGACATCGACATTGTGGGAGTTCGTCTAGTGGAGAATCGCGATCTACTTCTGCTACTTGTCATATGCTCATCACCAGCTAGTGTTGGATAGAGGAATCTTTAGATTCATTGAACTGCTCTATGTGCAATTATTATCTGTATTTAATTTATACTTCTTAGTTAATAATTTATATTTTTTTTTATTGTTTTCTACTCATAGCTGCGTAATATAAATGAGTCAAATATGGACTCAATCTAATTAAATATGTTTACGCGCCAGATGGCTGTCTTGTACTTAAAAACTAAATTTTTCTACTTATAAGTACTCTGTATATGTATTATTAACCCTGTTAATGGCTTTAGCTGTTGGGTTTGATTTTCAATAAATAAATAAATAAATAAATAA